GCTAGATTGTCGTTAGACAAATTTTTTCTGCTAGTGTCGGCTTTATTGCATCTGAAGCATCGAGCAAAATTTTGCTCCATGATCTGAAGACACCTCTCCTGCAGAGTGAGTTGGAGATAATCTCACTCTACAATGGTTAATTGGTATGTTTATTGCAGACAAGTGTTTATTGTTTCCCTAAAAATCAGGCATACTAAGGTAGGTTAATATTCACATATATTTGACTTCTTTTGATTTAACAATATACATCTGTGTTTGTTCCGTAATAATAAATTTTAAATGTGGCAACAATGTACAGGGCCAGAAAAACTCAACTATTTTTAGTGCGCATAAACCACCCAACAACTTTTATGTGCAACTTTTAAAAGTATAGAGAACCTTTTGAAATTTTTTATTTGGCAGTGTTGCCATGTCGTTTTAATAAACTGCGAAAGATCATGCGATATAATATTAATTATTTTAATTAAACAGGGAAAACATAAAATCGTAAAATATTGAGAAAAATAATATACAAATCACTATAAATACTAAAGGTAGAAAGTGAATAACAAGTTAAATTCTGCTGTAATAATTTCAATATATATTTTTACTTTGTTATTATCTTGCAATCTGGCAACGGTAATGGCAAACTCATCGAGCAAAAAGATATCGTCCATGAAATTTTCTCTATGATATCGTCTTATTGCTGGATGGGCAAACTGCAACTAATATTGAAAGAAACAAGTATTCATGTGATCATGTTTTATGTAAATTAAAAAAAAATATCAGATTCCATAAAATAATATTATAAAAATAAAATGTACTATTTTAAAGCATATTTGAGGCATAAACATTGTGATTTACTAGTTTCATTTGTAGCCAACGAAACGTTCTCTATACTTTTACCTCGGTTTTTAGGCTTGAAGTCCAAAATAAAATGCGCGATTTTTGGCAAATCCGTTTAATGTAAATATTTACTAAAAAATGAATGATAATACCTTGCAATTATTATAGGTTCAAACATACATCACAGGAGGAGGTATGTTGGTACCAGTAATATTATAATACCTCAAGATAAGCCATATTCTTGCTATTATGGGACCTCAAATATTCCTTATTGACAACATATATATGACAGCAATAATATACCTGATGTTGCCACAATTATGTTCACAGTATTTTTGCAATTTCAAACTGATTTTAATAATATAAATGCATTGATCCTTATTTTGCTTACAGGTAATATAAGCGACTGTGAAGAATAAGATATCAGTAGATGAGCAATACTACCATCCAGTACTGAGATAGCAGCCACTTCCACCCTTAATGTTTTACCCAACTTTATAATAACAGGTAAATAGTCTAATAGTTTTCACTTACAGATAATGTGTCAACTCCAAAGAAAAGAGATTGGGCAACAGCTAGTACTAAGTACCCCATCTAATGATTTTATCCAAGGTTATATTTGATATCGTTTTACCTCAATACTATAGTTTCTACAATCTAATAGTGTTCAATGTATGTAGGACTAACCATTTGAGTAATTACAATAAGTTGGTTGCTTTTGTTAGGATTCCAGACTAGTCCTAAGGTTATTAGACTTTCAATATAATGTCCTATATACAAACTAAAGGTGGCATATTATTTTTTCAAAGAAGTAAAACAAAATTAAATTAGGAATTGTTTTAATTCATTTGATGAATTTGGAAAAACACAATTGAAATAGCTTTATTAAAATACACAAGGAAAAATTAATTTCCCGTAGTATATAGTCAACTATATACTAAACTCAACTATATACAAAAAAAATTTTTACTAAAAATTTTTATTTACATTTATTATCTACTTTTCTATATAATATTTATGTTTATTTACAGATGATACAAGATTCATCACAAGGTAGGTGTTTAGTCACAAAAACACCAAGAAGGAAGAAAAAAGTAATGAATCTGATGATTTGTTAGACATTAAGAAGCAAGTGCACTTGAAGAAATTGGAAATATTGCAAATTGTGGAGGAAAGGGAAATAGTAGAATTAGAAAAAATATAATTAGACATAAAAAAACTGATTTGTAAATAAAAAAGACTTAATAAATAGATACTTTCTACCTTAGAAAATGTGTTTTCTTTATATTTAAATATTTTTTATACAAGCTGTGAATAAGTATTAGTATAAATTATATATATTAAAATACCAAACAATTATTTAAAATAAACTTAAAAACTGTAAATATTGTCAACTGTGTCAACATATTGACAGAATACCAAACATCTTTAAAACACTGTATTAATTAATGCTGTTCTTACAGCATTGTGATTATTTTGCAATTCTCGAAGTGGAACTTCTGGTTGTTCTATCTAATCCAATTGTTATTTGTTCATTTGGTACTTCATCACCCATTACGATTGCCATGTTATTATTGTCTGTTTCCTGATGCGGCATGCGCATACCCACTGAAAGACATGGAAAAGGTCTCTTCCAAACTCTAAATGCTCTCTCTATATCAATCTGAGATTGTATGTGTTTGTGGATTCAGCAGTGGCGTTAATAAATACTTTTTACAAGCATATACCCTATCACCTAATAAATATCGGACTATTTTCACATTTGGTCCCATTGAAGATAGCTTCAAATGGGTTTGACAGAATGAAATAATGGTGTTTTGCAGTGTTGAAATTTACATTACAAACGAAACATACGCAATTAAAAGCAATAAGATATTTAAAAACTAATATTTAACGATTACCAAAAAAAGAAAAAGTAAATAGTTTTAAAAACAGTTTTTAACAGTAAATAGTAAAATGTCAGTATAAATAATAAAATTTAAAAGGCATTTGTTGCAATCTGGCAGCGGGTGGTATGAGGGTTCTGACTCTATTGCCAAATCTATCCGCTAACCTACCAAATGGCAATTGCCAAAAAAAAATTTCTGATAATTTATTACAACTAATATCAAAGCTAATATCTTTGTAGTTGAAGCATATAACATATACATTATAAGTACATGGCAACACTGCCAACGCAATATTTCGTTCTGTGAAACTTAATTGACAGCTAACTTGAGGCTATCTTCAATGGGACCAAATGTGAAAATCGTCCCATACGCAATCAAAAGCAATAAAATATTTGAAAACTTAACAATTACAAAGAAAAAGTAAATAGTTTTAAAACAGTTTTTGAAAGTAAATAGTAAAATGGGTTGAGTTTACCGAAAGTACAAGCTGAATATAGCCGCAAATGTCAAAAATATTTCGGCTTGGCAGTGTTGGCATGTTTTTATAATGCATATATTGTATGCTTCAAATATAAAGAGATAAAGCTTTTAAAAAGTACATTTTGAGTATACTATTTTATGAATTCTGCAATTTTTAATTTATATGAAGCAGTAACGAGTAGATATTTGTCTCTTTCGAGATTAATTGCAAACATCTGTTGTAATCTGGCAACTTCTGATTTGACGATTCTTCTATCTAAATCTATCCCCTAATCGTCCTAATCTATCAAAGGGTAATTGCTAATAATTAACTGCAATTAATATCCAAAGAAACAAATATTTACTGATTGTTGTTTTATATAAACAGAAATTTGCAGAATGCATAACATAATATAAACAAAATGTACTTTTCTAAAGCTTTATATTTTTATATTTCAAGCATACAGCATCTACATTATAAAAACATGCCAACACTGCTATAACGAAATTTTTTTCCATGTTCGACATTTGCGGCTATGTTCAGCTTGTACTTTCGGTAAACTCAACCACAAAATAATAAACAATCATAATGCCCACCCACTCTCAGATGCCGCCTTTGAAGTTTTTCAGCACGCGCGCCATGTTTTAGAAGGAAACACATAACATAGGCATATGATTTGTGAGGTTATATAATTGTTTATATTTATGTTTAATTAAGTATATTATATTTATGTTATTATATTTTAACAATGTTAAAATAATTGCATAGTATGTGTACGATTGCCATAAGTCAATTAAACTTGGTTAATTTTTCTATGCACACCACATAAGTTTTCATTAAACAACACTGGTTCCAGTGGTTCCCTCTAAAACATGGTGGAACGTCTTCGCGAAGAAGATGCGCGTACTTAATTTTCCATGGAGAGTGGGCATTCTGATTGTTTATTATTCTGTGACTAGACCTTTTATTCATCACTTTTCTATGATATACGCGTAGAAATAATATTTAAAGATTTCTATTAATGTTAACTTAAAAAGAAATACACAATAATATGCTTCATTTAATTTATATAAATGCATTATAAAGCGTTTTTATGAAGAACATTTGTTCGGAACACACTGTAACTGTAATCGAACGAAGGTGATATATTGGCATAAATTGATAACACGTATTTGACAGTTGCGGTATTGACATTTTGTGTACTTTATTGTTTTGAATTTTAAAGTGAATATCTCTTGTTTTATATTATTACCTATTAAATAAAATCTGTTCTTTAAAAAAAAATTAGTGTGTTTTATTTCAAAAAATGTCACGTTTATTTTTTATTTACTTTTTTTGTCTCAAATTAAGTGCCTTAATTTGAGAAATTTTTTGATTTCTTCTGGTGACTTTGATCGATAGATTTTATTTTAACTATTATGCTTTATGCTGTGTTATAAATGTTTCTGTCGCAGTATTCTTTTCCGCCTAGTGGAAAGAAAACAAAAATTTTGATGGGAAATTTTTATTTAATATATTTTTAAACTTTATCGTTTTTACTTCAATTATTTCTTCAAGTAAAAATAAAAAAATTCGTATTTAACATAGAAAACATTTATTATGATAAGAAAATATAATTTGTTAGAGTTACATTTACCTAAAAAGGTATACATTAAATAACTAGTAATAAAAATTTACTTACAGCGTAAAATGATTATACATTTTATGAACTCATGTACAAATCACTACCGTATCAACAAACATTCAAAAAATATCGGTTATTATAGTAACATTCTGTATACGACTTCGCACATAGTTATTTTTAATGATAAAATGGAAAGAAAACGTTATGAACCGCGTGATTTCCAGCGACGATCTTAAAGAGAGTGAACCTTCGACCCAGAAATTGGGCTTTTCCAACATGTTTTTCCACAGGGAAAGCTCTCTGCCTGAAGCGTCCATCCAGTCGACGGGTTTACCGTAGTGTTTGCCTAAAATACAGTAAAAATATTTATAAAATAACAAATTAAACACAAAAAATAAAAAAATATAAAAAAAACTATTTTTGAAAATATTTCAAAATTTGGAGACTAAATGATCTTAAGAGTGAAATGACAAAGAATATTGTTCAAAAATTATGCCTAAAATCTTTCAGTCAAATTCAGCTTTATACCAGAAATAACGCATACAATTAAAAAACCGCTTTTTCGAACAAATTTTTCAATTTTATCCAAGGAACGATTTGTTGAGTTAAAAATAGGATCGACTAATCCTTTTTTTTTTGCTCCCCCATTTTTGTCATATTGTCATCCTATATTTTAATTAACTTTTTTGATTAAATTATTCAAGGCTGACACATGTCCAGAATTTGGCATCTATTTGCCTATTTGCTTAAGACTTAAAATTACAAAAACGTTTTATTTTGTATTCTTAGTCGTCAACATATATAATGCAAATTATGTAAAGAAATATTACAACAAATATAAAAATTGGAGATAACTACACCGATGAAATCTCCATACAACGAGGGGTCAGACAAGGTTTCATTTTGTCGCCAACATTGTTCAATATTTACTCGGACCAGTTATTTAAAAATGCACTTGAGAGACAACCATAAGGAATAAAAATCAACGGATAACTACTTAATGTGATTAGATATGCAGATAATACAGTAATTCTGTCAGATTATATTGAAGGTCTCCAAATTCTGCTTGATCGTAATCAAGAGGTAGGAGAGGAAATGGGTATAAAAATAAACTGAAACAAAACCAAATTTTTCTTCAAAAAGCTTCAATTAAATTAAATGGAGTCCAAGTTAAGAAAGTTCACAAAATGACATATTTGGGAACTGTGATAACGCACCAACTAGATCCAGACATAGAAATAAAACGTAGAATAGCAATGACTAAAACTACTTTTATGAAAATTAAGTTATTTCTTTGCAATAATCATCTCAGTTTAGAACTAAGACAAAGAATAGTTAAGTGCTATGTTTGGTCCATACTTTTGTATAGTGCAGAAGTGTGGACGCTAAAAGTATCGATCATAAACAAAATTGAAGCATTGGAAATGTGGGTTCATAGACAAATGCTGGAGATACCTTGGACAGCAAGGAAAACTAATGAAGAAGTACTAAAGAGCATCAACAAAGATAGAGAACTGCTAAAGACTGTTAAACATCGCAAAATGTCTTATCTGGGACATACAGTAAGGGGAAGTCGCTATAAAATATTACAATTGATCCTTAAAGGCAAAATAGAGGGCCGTAGAGGTGTAGGAAGGAAACAGGTTTCTTGGTTTAAAAACATATGTGAATGGACTCAGATACCAAATGCAGGACAATTATTCCATATTGCAGAATATCGAGAAGCCTTATCAATGGTGATCACCAACATCAGATAATTCTGATATGACACGCGAAGAAGAAGAAGAAAGTCGTCAACAGTGTTATTATACAGCTGGTTGAGTCGTGCGCTTTCTTAATAAGTTTTGCCAATCGTTCCTCTTTATTGTCAATCGTCCCCAGTCTGAAAAACCTTTCAAATTTCATATTTTCAACAAAAAACTTTCAAAGCCTAATTTTTGGATGAGCATCCCTTTGCTTTTTCTTTCGTGTCCTTAATAAGTGTTAATTTACACAATTTAGACAAATATAACAATACAAAATCATACCATAGAAAATGTTGAACATTGTGTATATCTATCTAGGTCATGTCATCATACTAGGAAAACCAAATCAAGGTGCTGAAATTAAAAGAAGAACACAACTGGCATAAAACCGTGGACAATCACGAATAAATACACCTAATCCATTCATTGACAAAAATAATAAACCTATTAATACCCCTCCCCAATTGAAATAAAGTATAAAGTTTTCATCACAATTCCATTTCTCATTTAATGTAGCTCGAGTCTAAGTAAAGTAGTGTTCAATTGTAGTTCCTATCACAGGTTCCCATTGACTCATATTGAGTGGTGTATTGTGTGTTGTCTACTAATCGCCATTCATTTTGTCTTGGCAATATTAATACGAAGCCCGAACTCACCGAATTTGTTAATTTTGTTAAAAATTGCGTAAATGTATTCAATGTTATTAGCTATTGTTGTAGTATCGTCGAATATTATTTATTTATTTATTTATTTTAATCGACTCTCAGATAATATCAGAAACGCCATCTATACTACGGCCTATAAACAACAAATAAGGTTTTATTATTAATGCACTCCAGGACGCCTTTTATAATACGATTATATAATACATAATTTAAAAATTAAGACAACTAATTCTTTTTAGCACCACATCCCAAGTTAGAACTTTACTAACAGTCTTATCTGTACAATATGAAAAAGTTTCCCGTCGGTTATTTCCAGTTTTCTAAATTTACAACAAATGCCGCTTAAATTAATTATACAAACGAAACGACCAAGTTTTAGACTCCGCGGCACGGAACTTACTGAAAACTTTCGGCATAATGCTAAAGTTTTATCAGCAGACAATATAAACTACAGCCAAATGTTCTCTTTGATTTCTATCTCTAGATATTAATTAATTTAAAGGATAAATCTAAAAGTATAGAATAAATTATAAACAATAACATATTGTTTGTTTTTGTGGCCTTAGAAGGCTCTTAACAGAAGAGAGAAGATGCTGAGGAAGATGAAGAAATGTGAATGAATATGTTTCTTAAATATAAATGTTTCTTTGACTAAAGCAACATGTCTAATTATCTACATCATCTTAAAGCTGGATGGAAATCTTTCAAGTTATATAGTCTGCGCTGATCAGAAATCTACGAAGATTATATTGAAATAAGTATATAATGTTTTGGGACTCAAGAACTACACATATTTTTTAACACGGAGAGAATACGAGCCAAATTAGATCTAAAATAAAATCGCACAAAAATCTTTGCTGATCTTACCTGTTCCTAAACAGAATCTGACGCCTCCCAGGAACTCATTGCTAGCCAATCGATCGTGATCCCAAACGGTCAACTCTAGACATCTTTCAGCTAATTCTTGCAACGTTACATCGTCGTATATAAAGGTATAATTCCATACTGGATTAGTGGTTCGCTTCGCAACGGGAGTTTTTTGTTTGGAACTCCGACCTTTGTCAGGGAGAAGGTAACTGAAAAAATTGACTTTCGTTATATTCAGTGAAACACGACAAATCAAATATGGCAAGTGAAATTTGACAAGTGACATCTTCAGCGTGACATATGACATATTCGGCAAAAATGACAAACCAAATGCCAAATGTGACAAGCTAACGCATGACATGTGCAATTTGACAAGTGAAATGTTATACTAACCTTTTACAAAATGGATCGGAGGTTCCATTCGCTTTGACGGCAGTCAGTGATTTGGCTTCCTTGACCAACACGTGAAGAGCTCCTCTAGATCGTTTTCCTTTCTTTTGAACAGTCATATCTGGAGGGATGAACTTCAAACACACTATAATATCACCTTTGTATGAAGAAACGTCTTCGAAAGGTTCAGTCTAAAACAAATTATGGATTAGGCTTTAAAATTCAAGTTAATACAGATACCTGATGTAAACAGGTCATTCATCCATAAGAGAGATTTTGAATTGAAGAGAAAACATTAAAGAAGAAGAAGTTATTATGTATACATATTTTACTCACCCTTTCTTGAAGGTTATACCACTTGGGCGTAGGATCATCGAAAACTTTATTCTCTAAAGTCATCATGACCTCCCCGAGGAAATCGTTCCTTCCGAACATATCCGAATGCCATACTGTTAACCACAAAGTTCTTGATTCTAAACCATTTAAAGAAATGTGGAACTTAAGACATTCGTCGAATACTGGATTTAGAGTGTGCTTTTTTACTTTCGTCTTTCGCTTACCGCTTTTCGATTTGTCAGGTAAGAGATAGACCTAAAAAAGTAATTAATAATTATAATCAAATTAATTACATTATTCTCAAATAAAAATCCTTACATAACATAACAATGTATTATTTAGAACATTTATACCTCTTAACTGCTTAAATCAACCAAAGAGCTGGAAGAAATAGATGAGTAAAACAAACATCCAAAATAAAAAATCAGACGAAGAAATGCAGAGGAATTCTCGCGAAGAAGACGAACAAAAACATCTACTACTGTAGATTTACCGAATATATAATATTTCTAAGGAAAGATAAAGCTTTAGAAAAGTACATTTTGTTTATATTATGTTATGAATTCTGCAATTTTTGATTTATATAAAACAACAATGAGTAAATATTTGTTTCTTTGGAGATTTATTGCAGTTAATTATTAGAAATTTTATTAGCAATTGCTCTTTGATAGATTACGGGATAGATTTGGCAATCGTCAAATCAGCAGTTGCCAGATTACAAAAAATGTTTGCAATTAATCTCGAAAGAGACAAATATCTACTCGTTATTGCTTCATATAAATTAAAAATTGCAGAATTCATAAAATAGTGTAATCAAATTGTACTTTTTAAAAGCTTTATCTCTTTATATTTGAAGCATACAACATATGCCTTATAAAAACATGACAACACTGCCAAACCGAAATATTTTTTAAATTTGCGGCTATATTCAGCTTGTACTTTCGATAAACTCAACCCGAATTCTAAAATCGTATTTTCAAATTATTAACGATAAACAACAGAAACATATTGTATAATTATGCAAATATCGTGTAATTAGTACTTCGTATTAATTATAACAGAAATTGTTTAATGCACTGATACCGTTCATGCTCTAAAGGCAGAAATGACTTTTGCAGCCATTCGTAATTAGCTTTGCAACATCAAGATAGAAATCAAATTGTGGAAACGGCTTACCGCAATGCGATAAAGAAACTCGTTGTAATATAGTCCTTTGCATCGTTCATGCAATACTATAGGTTAAATTAGAAGGGGTTCAAAGATATTTTCATTTTCATCTGGTCAAAAATCTGTTAATGACAGTAGTAACAACACGAGAAATATTGTAATATCGGTATAAAATGGATCTCATAAGAAGCACGTAAAGTTTCTGAAAATTTAATATAAACGCCAAAGTTATTGAGGGGGTTATCTCTCCTTTCACACAATTCTTTAATAACCTTTTTCGAAAAGATATCCAGAGTATTTTCTTTTACCAAAATATTAAAATTTAAGCGTCAGATAAAGCCTTAAACAGACTTAAAATAAAAAAAAATGCGATGAGAAGATGATAGTGAATAGAGTAAAAAAAATACGGTAAAATAAACTATATAACAATGCCTACCCCAAAAAGACGGGTGACCTTTAAATGCTGTGTGTTTACATACTTGTTAAAATATTTCCAACTCATAACTATGACACATATATTTACATAGACCAACGCTTTCTCGTCCTTAACCTTTGTTTCAAATATTTTGTTGTTCAAATACTTAGGCGTCGCTCTAATTTGTTTATATACAATTTTACTGTGACATTTAAACGTTTTGGAAAGACTGTAAGACTTAAAAAATTGTAATTTTGAACTATTAAAGCTTCTTGAGCTCAACAAAAATTACAACTATTATGAGCTGTACCCATAGAACATAAAAAATAGATAAATACTCACTTTAACGTAAGGATCCGACCTATTTCTTTTCACATCGACAGGTGCTAGATCTTTACACTGTTTAATTTGGATCTCCAACGCTCCCGCTTTGTAGTTATATTGTAGTCCAAACTCTACTTGTCCCCTTACCGCAACTGTTCCGTACCTGCCCTCTCCTGCTCCTGAGTACACGCTCGCCATCGAGTCCGAGCGAGCCTAAATAAAAAGAAAATGTATATTAGTGTAAAAAATAATATCAATACAGTATTTTTTATTTTATTTTAATAATTTACTATTTACTAATATAGCATGGCTGAAGTGGAAATGGGCGGGCCATGTAGCCAGAATGAATGACGGGCGGTGGACGCAAAAAATTACAGTATGAAGGTGGACACCACGGGCTGACAGAATAAACAGAGGTAGGCAGACGACGTCTAGAGAATTACTGCGAATTGGCTTTGTTCAACTTTGGACGTAGAAGGCTGGATTAAACCAAAGGCCTAGATTAAACCAATAAACTCAAAAATGTGGTGGACAGCTACTGCCCGATCGCGCTGTTGAGCTCATGTTACAAACTACTTGATAGGGTACTAGTGAACAGATTCATCTCAGCAATTCTCGAAAACGTAGTAATGGAACAGGCTGGGTACCGTCCCCATCGGAGCTGCACATATCAAGTGCTTAGTCTTACCACACAGACAGAAGATGGCTTTCAACGACGTTTAAAAACTATGGTAGCTTACATTGATCTAACTGCTGCTTACAAAACCGTATGGAAAGACGGACTTATTTTAAAATTTTTCTACTAATCAATACGCTCTGCGATAGATCTTTTTTTCAGTTACTCTACGGGACATTAGGTCTATATCATATTGCGAAATACTCATTTAGATTCTTCTTATGGCATTCCACAGGTCTTTTAAGCGTGCTGGAAGATATGGTAATGGATTTAGGTTTCGACCTACCACATATGTTCGATGGGTGACAAATCAGCTGATCTTGATGGCCACTTCAAAGTCTCTATACCAGATTCTTGTATGAACTCCATGGTTTCAAGGGCAATATGAGATCTTTCGTTATCCTGTTGGAAAGGCTTGTAGGTAGGGATATAAAACCAGGTTACAGTACTTCACCAATATATCGTCGAACTGCCAGAGTACCGTTAATAAGAAGTAGAAGTGATCTGCTTCTCAAGCATAAGGCTTGGTTGTCTTGCTGTATGGCGTTCAACAGCCAAGTCTATATTTCATCTCTCATATCGAAAACGTCTTACCCTTATGCACCCATCAGAGTCACCCAAACAAAACTTAAATTTATCAATGAAGCAGACCAAATTCCAATGGCCATTCCAGTTTTTCCGAGCTCTGCACCATTCTAAGCGTGAGCTTTATGCTACGGTGTCAAAGGTAACACAGTAACAATCATTGGAAGTAATCTTTGATTAACTATTTTTATTGAGACTAATCTTCCTGTAGCTTCAATTAAATCATCTCTTACTTAATGTGCACTGTCCCGTCTATTTCTAAGAGCAAGAAGTCCAAGACGGCGCAAATTAAAAGCCTCCCAATATTCTAGGACGTCCAGACCCTCCACGACACCATTGGACCTGCTTCTCCAAACTCTTACCGTCGATGGATTAGCTTCAATTGCCAATGACCGCGAGTTTTGGCATTTTAATTTTTTTGTGTTAATTAAAAACAATCCAAATGACTTAAAATTACAAATAAATCAAAGTTAAATACACAAAAATAATTTTTGTATCTTTTTTGTTTTTCAACTTTCTCGCAAGACTATTACTGTGCTAACAGTTATATTTAACAGCATGCTTAGCTTATCATACTTTCCAAAAATATGGAAATTGGCTAAATCATTATGATCCTCAAGCCAGGAAAAAAGCCCAATGAAGTAACATCTTATCGAGCCATCAACCTACTCCCAACCGTAAGCAAAGTTTTTGAAATATTGCTGCTACAAAGGATATACGCAGATCATGAATTCCTAACATTAGTACCAAATCATCAGTTTGGTTTTCGGAAAAATCACTCTACTACCCAACAAGCCTACCGAATGATAAATGAAATATTAATGAAAAAATTACTGCAACGCTATATTTCTAGACAGCGTTTGACAAAGTCTGGCATTAAGGTCTGCTTTACAAGGTAAAAATAGCACTAGGCATAAACTATTTCCTCCTACTTAAATCTTACATATCAAATAGATATTTCTCTGTAAAATTCAAAGATCAACAATCCAACCTCTATCCTTTCACCTCCACAGAGACTAATAATATTAGAATCGCTTTTTTTGCTGACGATGTAGCAATACTACCTGTAAATGAAGATTCCATACAAGTCTCACAAAACCTTCAACATCATCTCAACACACTCAGTGGTTGGTATACGAAATGGAGAACAAAAGCAAATAAAACAAAATCAACTCAAAAAACATTTACCAATCGTCACAACATATGCCCACCTGTAAGAATGGAAAATATAAGAATACCAACAATAACAGATGCTAAGATACCTTGGCCTCCATCTTCACCAACGTCTCACTTGGAAGAACCAAAAGGAGACAGTTCGACTTAAAATTCCGGCAAATGTATTGGCTCCTTGGACGTAAATCAAAACTCAACATCCAAAACAAAATTCTTCTATACAAAGCCATACTCAAACCTATCTGGTTCTGCAATATTCCAATTTAAAGTGATAAGATCGATAGTGGATGCACCATGAAACGTAAGTAATCAAATACTTCACTACGACTTGAACATTCCTTACACCAAAGAAGAAATTCATCGAGTTACGGAGTCACAAAATGAAAGTGTCATTTACCATGAAAATTAGCAAGTAAGGGAATTATTCAACATTGGTTCAGCCACAAGATGATTAGATAGAACCTGGCCCCAAGACCTACTTCAAAACTAAACCAAAATAGAATAAGGGGAGACATCATTCGATGTCTCTCCTTTATGCCCAAAACCTGTAACACATTCACTTAATACTCTGTAATGATGTAGATTGTAAATAAACATAATTATAAAAAAAATCAATTTTTTTTGAAAAAAAAACTGAAAAAACTTAAGTTAAAGAAAAGATAGAAAGGTAAAAACTTTATCACATAATAATTTTTAGACAAGACTTACGAAGAAACACTTTTGATCCAAATAAATAACCGTATACAAAGCGTAAATTTTGTTGGCCATCAGTATAAATGTAGTTTTGAACTGACTAACTTATAGAAGATATAATATAAACGTTGAAGTTACGATGAAGATGAGCAAAGTGCTTTCAGATTTGATCTGATTTGATAATAACGACTGGCCAATTTGTTTATTTGAGTTCAAATGCTCCAGATATAATATTGCTGAGTACGAGCTACTCAGACCCAACCAAAAAAGTAAATTTGGGTGGTAGATCACGAAAAAAAATTTACTTACTGTAACAACAATTTCGGTATTATAAATCTAAATCCATAAAGTTACCACACAAACAAGTCACAATTATTAATATGTAATTTTTTCAATTACAATTTAGAAATAGTCACTTTTCAAAAATCATTTTTTCCGGTTAAAACACTGTCTCACAGTTAATGAAAACGTGCTAAACGCAGACTAAACAAGAACGAGCTAGATGTAAGCCAAACAGCATTAGTCATTGGTATAATTATCTCAACACAATGGAAAATAGTTTACAAGTTTTATTGGCTTTTCACGATTGTGGCCGAAACATTATCAAGTGCATTAACTGAATTTTATTACTAAAAATAATAAATTTGTATAGAATTATCACAACAATAGTGCATCTGACTACAGAAACATAAATAAACTGTTATCACAAACAATAATGACAATTCTTTAGAACCTACAGAAACGTAATATAAATAAACTGTTGTCATTTTTCAATAATAAAAACGGATTAAACTAAGCAGCAAAACGTCTCCTTATCTAGATATAAGTTATTACAGTGAATTAAGGGATTCAGAAAAGGATTAAAGTGGATGAACACGTGAATTATACACACATTATGTAAGATCAAAGAAGGTGAGAATAAAATTGTGTTTTTGAAAATATATATGCTCAATGATCTACTAAAGTAAAGAGGTTTAGAATTATTGGTAAAGAAAATGACAAAATTATTGCAAAAGATTATAAAAACGCTTTTCTATCTCTTCTGTAGCACTACAACCCATTCTCCAGCATCCGCCGCTAAGCATCCCATTCCTTAACTGCTCTCCTCCAGTTATCTACCCTCAATATCTCTTTAGCATCTGTTCTCACTTGGTCTATCCACCTCTTTCTTGGTTCTCCTACTTGTCGGATGTGCGACGTTCCACCATAGTTCCACGAAGCGTTTTACTAGAAAAACGTCTTTTGAAAAGATATATTACAGGTTCTTCTTGTACCAAATACACTTTAACTAGCTCCTCTTGATTGAGTAATGGTAAATTATTTGTTCTTTTCCATCAACTTGGTAGTCGAATTGTTTCAATTACTAAGTAGTGGCCAGAGCATGTCTTGTTCCTGATATAATCGACTATCTACTACTGTTTTTATAATTTTTCATTTACAATTATCGATCTGCATTCTCGAACATTTGTACAACAATCTGTATTTATTAATATCTTCACCATTTACAAAACAAGAGTTTAGCAATAGGATTTATTAGTGTCATGAAGTAGATGGGGCACATTTTGAACACTAAATATAAGAACTGCACCAGTCCGGTCTTACACCATCCATCTCATTGTTGATTTTTACTTTTCCGAAACCGTTTTCATAGGGTTTTAAGCAGAAGAATTAGATGTTTTGGAACGCCCTTGTTTTTAAGACCAAGCATATTCTTCTCCACTTCACGTACTCTATTTTTTAGTGTAATCGGCGAAACATAAATAACTTTTAACATTAAATTCATATGATTTTTCTATACTTGTCAGACATTTGCTCTTCCTTTGAAATACATTCATACTCATTTTATCTTTGTATAAAGTTTGCTTTCCCGTTATTTTTCCATGCATGAACCCTGTTTGATTATCAGGCATGCAGGCACTCAACAACTTCATTAAAAAGGATTTTAAAACTATCAAGAAGAAATCCAGAGTTAGGGTTTGTTCCAAATTCTGTATAAATCACTCATATCAAACAATCTGTATAAATAATAAAGATATAAATGATAAAAGCAAAGTTCAGGAGTGTATAAGATTACTTGTGGTACGTGCTCAAAAGTATATACTTTGGTCAGACATGAGGAAGTTTCAAAAACGAATAACGAAACACAGAGCTAGTTTTATCCACGATAAAAATAAGTCAACATATACAAACGTTATGGATACAATTTTTACCACAAGCAGAATCGCTGAAAATGTTTAATATTACATTTTTATTAGAGCTTTTGACAATAATTATACCAATTTTCAGTTCAAGGTGAATTTTTTCGAACTCACAACCATTTTTGTCGATTTCGACTGGTGTAATCGCGAATATAAATATCTTTATAGAGAGTAGCCGTACGCGAAACACGAACGAAATCGAGAGTCGATTTGACTCTCCTGAGATTAATTTATAGTTTCTTTCCTTTTCATTTGTAAACGTCACATAGTGGTCGTGTTCCCTGCCTGGTTTTCGAAAGGTCAGCACGGTCAGAAGGCATGCATGACTGATTTAAGACTACAGTTGCAACGGCTGAAACAATATCTACCCACAACAATGCGATATCCAGCAAACGAAAAAAGAGGTTATGGATAATTGAGTTAAACTATTATAATAACGATTTGTAATTGCAGAGTAAAAATATTTTCAAGTTTCAAATGGAAATTATCTAATACCAGCTCGAAACAAAATACGAAAAAATACTACAAAATTTTTGTGATCACCTCTTGTTATATTTTGAGCAGAATCTATTTTAACTATTATAAACTTTTACTATTTTCCATGTGCTGCATAAATCTATCGGGTTCAAGCTTTGGCGCACCCAGGGGGGTTGGGAGTTAACCCCCCCGAGGCATATAAAGTAAAACATATATAAAGAATAATAGGAACATGTAACTTGTCTTTCACACACAATACAAAAAAATTTATTAAAATCCTTTATAAAAGGTATATATTTAAAAACCCAATCGGTCTCTGTTAAAACAAAACGTTTTCGGAATCCATATTCCATCATCAGTGTCCTAAAAAGTATATAACCACTTATTAAAAATAACATGAAATTTAAATTTTGACCAAGGTTAATGCAAAATGTGGTTAATACTTACTAGGTATACATGAATGTGGCCACTAAATATGTGGGTAAAAACCCACAAAACCCAAAAATATTTCAAAATAAGAATAACAAAGAAGCTTAAGAAATTTAAAACGCTTCTTTCTTTACAATGAATATGAAATGTAAAATTTTACAATGTCTAAATAAACGACTCTGATAAACTGTATAATATCCTCATTAAAATAAGTACTTACACTTACCCCAAGAGTAGATAGACTTCCTCTATTCTGCAAACTTCCTATCCTATCGAGATCTTCGTCATTGTGCCAGTCCGGGTTCAGTCTGGCTCCGTTTCGTTTGGCCACGGACGTCACTGGACTGGGGGTGGCACTCTTCGTACCGTTTCTGGGAGATGCGAGCATCGGCGACGAATGAGCTTCAGAAACTCCAACTTCATCTGGAAACAAAACGTAATCAAATTAATTAAGGATGGTAAGTTTGCAGCGTGATTGTTTGCATTTAAGTTGAATAAAAGCTTTGCAGCTTTTGTTAAATAGGTTAAAATGATTGTTCGAGTATACATATACATAGTTTAGTAAATATATTTTGAAATACTACCGATAAGAAGTGCAAACTACACAGTTTCATAATCAGGGTAAAATGATTAAAGTTTAGATACAAAGTAGTTCATAAAGACTGAAATGATAAGCTGAAAATGTCAGAAAGAGGTGCGTAAGAAAACGACCTGACAACAAGATACACCACCACACGAAGTTCAACGGGGAAAAACTAAAAAGTAATAAACAAATCAAACACAAAAGGAAATATAATGAAAAAAGAACATGAAATAACATGGAAATATACCATATACGAGACAACATCAGATATAGACGAAGAAACTGAAATATAGGAAATTACTAAAGAAGTAAAAAAAAGAATTACTAAAGAAGAAATAAAAAACACACTAAAATAACTAAAAAAATGGAAAAGTCACTGGAAGTGACAATCTAACGGTAGATTTAATAAAGGCTGACGCAAACGAATCAGTAAAAATACACAAAGTCTTTAACAAGATATTGGTCGATGAGGAACTTCCAAGAATGGAAGAAGAATCATTAAGATACCAAAAAATGCAACGTAAGTAGATGCGAAAATTGGAGAGCAATAACACTGCTGAGCGGCACATCCAAAATAATGTCCAATTTATTTATTTTATTTATCGTATGGCAATTACAACACATTTAGAACAAAATTACAAACACTAGTAATATAGGTATATGACAAACTTTAAATAATTACAAACAAACATCAAGTGTATTAACATAATCAATTGACTCTGAAGTTGCAAACAGGAAGTCTTCAGGGCTACCGTTATAGGATCTTGAGGGACACTCTTCAATAATGTGGTCGATCGTTTGGTCCTTCCCACAGTCACATTGGGGAGACGGATTCTTTCCCCATTTATGTAGCATGTATGCACATCTGCCATGTCTGGTTCGGATCCTGTTTAGAGTGGACCATGTTTTACGTGGAAGATCAAAACCTGGTGGCTTGTGGGTAATACAGGGCATGTTATTTTGCCATGCATTCCATTTTTGGGACCATGCATTCGTGATGTTGAACTCCTCATGTATCATTCTTGCCGATTTCATTGGTGGTTTTCTAGAACGTAGACGGGTATTTCGTGCATCCTCGGTATCTTGGTAGATCGGCAGGTTTATATTGTTCATGATCTTTTTGTATTCACGTGTAAGTGCATCAACTCGTCGTAAATGTGGAAGTGGAATGTGACTTAATACTGGAAGCCATTGGGTGGGAGTTGATTTAATTGTACCAGCTATCATCCTCATAGTGCTGTGCAGCTGAGTGTCGACCTTTTTTACGTGTGGACTGTGTAGAGTATAATGTCCAAGATTATATTGAACAGACTGAATCAAAGCTAGACAAGAAACTAAGAAGCAATCAAGCAGGCTTACGTGCCAAACGCTCCACTATCGACCATATTTATAATCTAAGGATTATTTTGCAACAAGCTAGCGAATGACAAAGAAATATAAACATAATGCAGAAAGACATTTGAGATTTAATTTCATTGCGTGGCCACTGTCATCCGATTATACGTATCTTAACCTTCTTAGGTCCCTCAGAGCGACATATGCAGAAGATCTGGATTGAAAATGATCAAAATCTAACACTGTCATTTTGTTTATTTCTTTACTTCGTTTGGAGTACCAGAAATTGAATTCACTACGAATTTTGGCCATGATGAACGGCATTTGGAATGCAATCTTAGATTCCCTTGCCGATTTATTCATCAAGCTGTTTGTTTTGCAAGTTTTAGAAAGCACGGTGGCTGAGATTTGAATTCGATTTCGCCAGATAGAAATCGTATGATTTCTTGTTCTTGTTCTTAGATGTCAAAGTTACGTCTGTACATAGTTATTTTTGATAACTATGGTCTACGACGGGAAAAGATTCTATTTCGATACGGAGTTGTAAAATTTAAATATTTGTTTACTGGGCTTTTTACAATATATTTAGACAGATTGATGAATTTGCCGACAAGAGGAATCTAGACTATACATTTCAGGACCTGTCAAAGTATCTAAATTATGGTCTATTAGAATTTTGCCATCATTCCAAAAAGAAAAAAACAGGTAACTCTATAAAATGGAATTACAAAAATGTGTAACTAAAACAAAATGTAAAAACATGTAATTTTAATTACAATATTTAGGATTGTGATTTGTTCTCTAAATATAAAATACTCTTTTGCTAAAACCTTTTTTGCTAAAAAATCCTGAGTATTTATCTATCAGTATGGTTACGCCTGGTATACTATAGGTATATATCTTCTAATCCTCAGTAAAAAATCATGATTCGCGAATGCAAATCGTAGAGTTTAACATCGTAGGTGGGCTGCAGTGAGTGCAGCGATGCGACATTTAAAACCATCATTTTGAAAGTGCCACAAGCACGTACGATCTCTACAGCGATCATATTTGGCTACGTGGCGGAACGGTTATGTTTGACGTACACCAAGTGATGTCAAGAAATCGAATGCATCTACATATATTTTGCAGATTGTACATATATATTAGCTTTTAAGATAAGATAAAATCCAGGAATCCAGCATCTTGCTTATTTATTCCTGAAAATATCTATGTTACATTTTTTTATAATTAGATCAGTAACTAGGTGTAAATTTTTTTTATAACTAGATTAGTAACTAATTATTGTATATTACTTTAAAATTAATTTTAAAAATCCTTTGCAATTACCGCAGCTACGTCAATGGCTTTTTCGAAAAATCTCCCTTTTGCACCTCGCCGAAACGAATGAGAGGTGCCGATATATCTTTTATGAGAACGTAACAGTACTTTAGATTTTTTATCTTTATAGACCTAATTCTGCGATATATTTCAGCTTTTTTATTTCTTAAAAAAGTACTGAAACATGCAGATTATTTAATGGCTGCTTTGTTAGAAATTTGTGAGCAATCGTCATTTTTTTGGGAACAAAATTTAGGCAACTTTTTTATAGCGCTAGGGAAAGAGTAATAAAGTTTGTTAAACTTCTTACAAATAGCTTTACTTAAAAGAGAACATTTTCAATATGGTACAGTAATTTGCTTTTTTGCTTTTCTTTTTAAAAAAAACCGTTATGTTTATGTGTTTACGACGAAAATGAAAATAAGTCAGTTCTTGTTAAGAGGGAGTTCTTTAAGAGGAGATGATCCTGTTCTAGGGGATAGTTTGTCCAATTTGAGAAAAATAGGATCACTCTTCGTTGGGTAGTCTAAGAGGTTTTGCTGTTGACTCACATAGACAACAGACGCCCTGTAGTCAGCTCTCTGATCGTGCGATCGTAACCGAAAGACGCTTTTCTCTCCGCTTTCTGCTGTTGGTCGTTCCGTAGACAACGAGCGTACTTTTCTCTCTCAAATATTGGTTCCGAAACAAAACAGATGGTTTGTTCTTTTCTCTTGGCGATACCATTAATTACCACTCGATAACATAGTGAGAATCGCTCCCCTCTTAGTGATGATGAGTAGTCAACAGAAACAGTACCGCAAAGCACGTGCCAAAAACTATTAATTCGCCACAAACTCGTATAAGAAAACACGAGTGTGAACCCTGCTTATATTTTTACGCAATAAACGTAAGACTGAAGAATGACCTACATCATGTACTTGTGCAACCCTGCCTGGGGATGTATGTGGATCTTCAACAAAACTTTGCTTATATCTGAAGTTTTGTTGTCATTGATAACTCGTTTCGGTCAACCTGATCGGTATCTATCTTTTACTTCTCCAGATTCCTCAAATCGCCTTACAGTTTTTTGTACCGTCGTCTTATGAATAGGAGAACGGTTTAGAGAACGGCATTTTAGAGAAGCAATTTAAATTGCAGAACTTTTTGAACCACAACTACTGTCAATTTTAGTTCATGATTTAAATGGTGAACAAATGTCAAAATCACAGCATTCTCAATTTAAATATTTAAATTTATTAAAATCTACATATTTTGCACTGTTTTATGTATTTAAGATCTTTCAGACTACATAAAATCAAGTGAACATATGGTTGAACTCGTATTGAATAGCTGAACTCGTGTGAAATTCACACTGAATGCGTGAAAACCATACTCAAAGACCACAAAAATTAAATGTATGGTCAGTTATAGTAGGTACTTATTTAATTGGTCCATTTTTTATCGAAAGAAATTTAACGTCAGATAGTTGGTGTAAATGTTCGGCGTTATTTAGATGAGATATTTCCCGGACGATAAATTGGTAGACAAGGTAGAATTGAATGACCTCCACATTAACCCGATCTCAATCCTAAAGATTATTTTTATTAGAGATACTTGAAAAATTCAGTTTACAAAACTTAACCAGCAAGTCTTGCATAGCTAAGGCAATGAATTATCGATGAATCTCGAATAATTTCTAGACAATCATGGAGAAATGTGGAGAAATCATGGAGAATCATGTATTCTTAACTATCAATTAATACGTTTTAATGTATTTGAAAATAGTTAGTATTAAAAAATGTATTGAAACAATTTAGGCGTTGCCAGATTTCTGTATTATGTATTTAAGACCTTCCAGACTACATAAAATCATAAGTGTTACATATGGTTGTCCTCGTATTTAATAGGAGATTCCAATAATGACTGAATCTACAGGGTGATGTATTTGAAAATGGAATCTCCGTATTCCAAAATAGGCGTATCTCAAATTTTGTATAACTATGTCTAGTAATTTACGAGATAATTGGCCGTTTCCACACTTTTGGGCCACTCTGTATATATAACAGTGGTCAGTTAGTTAAAGGTATAATATTGTAATATTGTTGGTGTTGAATAAAGTTAATTTTCAAGAAGTGTAACAAAATATATATACATTTTTTATTTTTTTTCTGTATATTATTTTTTTGACAAAATTCGTAATACA